TAAAATTTGTAGATTCACAAATAATAACAACGAGCATAATATATAAGTTCTACCTGAAGCTAGGCAATATGTCAAATTACAAATGATAATATCTTGAATTATCTTGAAATAGATCATAATCTACAATTAATTTCATACAGTTTTTATAAATTATAATGAACAATTGATTAAATTTTATAACAAATAATTTTTTGTAAGTGCAATCGGCAACCCTTGTTTTTTTCAATTCTAAATTCTACGGAAATATAAAAGAGGAGAAAAAAAATTTTTTTTTGTACTTGTGATATTTTGTAATTGATCTGTAATGTATATTAATTGTATAGTGTAATGAATGGGGTTAAATTGTGCATATAAGCAGTATACGTGCAACACATAATGTATATGATTTACATATGCACACTTATAACAATTTTATAATATAAAGGCATTTAATAATGGAAATGCGAATGGCAGGAACAGCGTGCCTCTTTAAATTTCATTTTAATAGTATTTGTATATGTAAACAAAATTTCTATTTTTTATTATATTTTCGCTTTGCTCGGTTGATATGGTTTTAAATAAATGTATGATTAATTATGATTATAGTCTAATATTAAAGTTTATTTACCTCGAAAAACACCCCCACAATTCAACAAAACAAAAACAAAAAGCAATAAAACTAAAGGAATATGACTAAAAAATACAAAGTTTAATTTGTTTTCATTTATTCATGAAAGTGTTAAATTTTTTTCTTATTTGTTTTTTTTTATAAATAAAATCAGAACTTGTTATTATATGCTGTGGATTATTCAAAGTAAAATTTGGATTTTAGGATATTAATAGCACTTTGAAATAGTAAAAAATGATATTTATTAAAACTGCGTAAAAATTGAAGATGGTATTGTTACTGCGTAAATAATAAATTATTGTCACTTTATAAAGAAATTGAGCCTGTTCTAATATAGAACCCATCGCAGCCACTTAGAAATAATAACAATTATTCTATTATCATTATGTCGGCCTTTATTTTCTTAATATATGATTTATTTTATAGGAGAAATTTTCCCACTTTTTCCGAATCATTGAATAATAAAACTTTTATCATTGAAATATCAGCGTCTCGCCACAATTTTAAAGATATTCTATGTGGGCCATAAATTATTCACATGATCTAGATTAAGTTTTTTTCTATATTAAAGCTTTATCATTATTTTTTTTGACCAAGAACTAAATATACATGTATATACTTATGTACTATTAAATATAAAGAATATGGTATATATTTCAATAATTTAATTTTGTGAAAAAAAAACTACATTATAAAATTCGCCACTTTACGGAAAAACAATCACTAATGCCGAAGAAAAATAAACAATGATTTCTGATGGGAATCGAACAATTTGAAATCGAAAATGAGAATTTCAATTTCGATGTTAGCTGTGGAACTTCATAAGTAAATTTATGTTAACACAATTGCTATAAAAATCACAAGGATTTAGAAAAAAAAAAATATAAAACAGTCGAGCGATTGTACAACTTAAACTCTACTGGAACATAGCAGCAAATTCAATAAAGGAGTCAAAATTTATGAATATTGAATATTACGAAATTTTTGAATAAATATCACAGACCTGCTGTGAAACTTTCTGGAAACTATGGTGCGGTTAAGTTTGTAAACAACATTAGATTTGTATACTTATGACGAAATTATTAAAAATCTATGAAAATTTTGTTTATATTTCTGGAGAAACGGGAACAGTTTCAAAACTCTATTACACGTTTTTTTTTTTTTGTTTATCATATAAAACCGAAAAAGTTTCGAATATTTCATCATTTTTGTTAAATAATTTTACATCAATCAACGTCAACAAATTCGTGGTTAATCTTTTATTATAAAAACAAAATTTTTTGTGAATTTATTTTTTTTTGTATACAAAATAAATATAGGAAATATGATTACTGCATTTGTTTTGATCTCGTTTTTTGATGCTGATTAAGTAATAACACACAAATATTGCTTAAATCTTTATTTAATACGATCAAATTTCTTATTTTGGTAATTTAAAGACTAATAAGAGATTAAAATGAGTTTACACAAAGTATACATTTTATTAAGATTAATGAATAGTAACAAAATGTTGGAATAAATTTAATTAAAATTGTCATCAAAATAAATAAATTTGAATTTATAATGTAATTCAATGATGAGGATGAAAATATGTGAATTAAATTTTCAAAATTTCGGAAGATATTAAAAGTAAATTTAAAATTTTTCAAGCAAAACCTAAATATTTTAAGAATACAAACGCCACCCTGAGCTACTGAACATTACTGAAATATGTGCATACACACATAAGCGGATCCTTAACGAAAATTGAAAAAATTGAAGCTATTAAATCAATGTAATAGCCACTATTAACTACAAATTTTCCAAATCTTTAAATTGAAGTCCAGGAAAAAATTGAATTTGTTTCGATATTTCAAATTTTTTTTGTTAAATTTCTTAAAACCATTTTGGTTTTTTCCTTATTTCACAATATTATTTCGAATAAAGCATCTTTTTTGTTTATAATTTTATTTATAATTTTAAAAAATGATTTATTACTTTTCTATTTCTCCTTTTAGTTCTGAATTTTTTGTGACGTTCACGTACACAATTAGGTTAATTGTATTTAAAGCTTTTTTCTTTTAAAGAATAATAAAAATTACCAATAAGTAATAACCTTTATTTATTACTTTATACAATAAGTACAGCAATAAATTAGATTTTCAACCAAATTAAGTTCGTAAAATCAAATTAATTTTTACTATCAGTAATAATATTCCCTTAAATTACCATATTGCTCAAAATACCACCTATTTTATCTCCCAAAAATTAAAAAAAAAATAGCGACCTATTCCACAATACAATTTACAATTTCAAATAGAATAGAATATTTTTTGAAAAATTAATAATTAAAATGAGAACAACAAAAATTTACGCAAAAAATAAAAATTAAAAAAATATTTTTAAACATTTTCATGTACTTCCTTATTTATAAATAATCAAAAAAAAATTAAATATTTTTATTTGTAATATGTCTGGGTCCCAAATTTTCTTATTTAAATTTACGTGTAAAATTTATTCCAGTTGCTTAAAATAAAAATCCCAAATTAATTATAAACATATAAAGCTACATACAATAATATTGTACACATATAAATTGAAATAATAATAAAGTGCGTAAATTTTATATTAAATTTGAAAATATTTTTATATTCTTATTTTCTTGTATATTACAAAATGATAAATTTAGAAAGTAAAAAAGAAAATTGTTTTAAAATACTTTTTGGCAAAATATTCCAATAAAATTTTTTTTTTAAAAACCATAAGAATATTAAAATTATATATTTTGCAAGAAAAATAAATGTTCCTTTGAGACAAAATGGTGAACTACCACCAAAAACAATAAAATTTAGGTTATTGTATTATTTCAAAAAAAAAAAAAATTTATTCTAAAAACATGTATGAGAAAAATTATATGAATATATTCATAGATAATGAAATATACAGGGTGTCTCCTTCCTAAATCTACTACTATACATACACCATAGTATGAGTAGACAAAATTTTTGTATAGAGACAATGTTTACAGCTCAACAGGTTCCTATAGTTTAAAGGCCTAAAAGTCATGGACTTTTTTATTTACTTTAGCAATTACACCTGAGACACCCTATAAGTATATGTATATTATAAAAATATAAAATACGAATTCAATAATTAGAATTGAAATAGAAAAATTTACATGCCTACATATAAATATTTTGTCATAAATATTTGAAATTTTGCCAAAGAAATTAATTATTTATATTTTTGTTAAAAAAATCTTAAAATGTACAAAAATATTATAAGTACAATTTTAACTTGATTGTCAAAAAATTTCAACAAAAAATATTACAATATTCAAAAGAAAAAAGAAGCTAATTAGAGTAGAATATCGAAAGTACTGACCTGCACTATAATAAATTATTTAACAATATTTTTACAATAAAAGAAAATAATGTTATCAATTTCTAGAAAATTTCGATTTGCTTCTTACACAATTCATAAAAAATTTGGAATAAATACAAAAAGAAATCAATGATAATTAATTAATAAAAAAAAGTTTCGATTATTTAAATATTTGACTCATGTTAAAAATTGTTTGATTCCTTTATAAATTCTTAAATATTCTGGGTACAATAGCTTAAAAACTGGATGATTAAAATGCTGCTAACCAATTGAAAAGAATAAGTATATGAAGGTCACATTACTCAAAATTTCATGAACTGATTGCATTTATTTTAAAAATTTATTTTGATAAGGCAAACATGAAAATAATCAACTAGTTATTAAGAGTCAGTCCAGCTGCATACTACGTGACTAAATAATGCTGATAAAAATTTATTTTATTCGAAAAGATAAGCATTTATTTTAATAAAATTAAATTTAATGTAGCTGAAGAGATTTTAAAAATTTGACTAATTTCTATCATAAAATATAATTTTCTTTTCTCAATTTTTAAGAGCTCTTTAAATAGTTTAATATAAATTAATTTCATTATTTTTATGAATTGTTTAGTCTCATTGTGTATAAAATAAAAAAAATGTGCGTCAGCAAAAAACTTAATTTTACGTCAAAATATGCGTTTTTAAGTACCACACGTTAATATAAAAATTTAAAAAGGAATGAAAATCCAATTGTAGAGAGAAGAAAATTTATAGGTACTTGACCTACGATTCTATTATTATTCATATGAGACCAAGAAATTTCAATTTAATTTGCTCGTATAACTAGTAATTTACTTTATTAACACATTATTTTCCAAATAAAACTGAAATTATAAGAAAAATTGTAAGGTAATTACATTTAAATCCTTAAATTCAACTTTCAGATTTATTATACAAAAACCTAAACAGAAAACTAAAGTATTTCCAGAGTGAAGAGATAGCTCTTGAATACTTAAAAAATTTTAACAACCAAAAGATTTGATGTAACTTACCGCAAGTGATGTTTTTGTTATATTAACATGCATTTCCAAATCTTTAATACGTTTAATTACAGCCTCTTCAACTCGAGTATGTTTAGCTAATCTCTCAAAAATTAATTCAATTTCTTCAATTGGTAATGAAAGAGGATGTGGTGATGTTACTGTTTGATGCATTGGTGAACCTTTTGATGGTGATGATGATGATCTTTCTTTTTCAGTTGAAGATGGTTTTTTTCGATCACAAATTGAAATATCTTCACGTGGTGTATCACTACATGATATTGATGCAACTGATTGACATAAAGCCTCAATAGTTTTAGTCTTTTGTTCTAATGTTAATGAAATATCTCGAAGCTACGGTGAAAAAAAAATATAAAATTTTACATTAATAATATTTAGATAAAAATTTTAAAGTTTACATAATTTTACTTAAAATTTATTAAATTATTATTTTTAAAATTTTAATTATAGCTTAAATAAATACAATTTTCATGTAAATTTTTGTATGCAATCAACGAAATGTCGAAATTAATAAATTTATTACATTAAATAGAATCCAAATCTTATAAGTGACACAATTAATTATCCAAAAAATTACATAATAAATAAATATTCAAATAAATAATTTAATAATAATTAGGTCTCATTAAGAAATCTTTAAAATTTAAAGAACCAAAATTCAAAAATGCCATCTGTTCGGCTTACCTAATTTAAAATTTAAAATATTATCAATATTTTTCTTTTTATTTATTCAAAAATTATGTTAATTAATATTGTAAATCTAGGGCATAATCTCATTTAAATTCATAAAAAAAAGAAGATAAAATATTTTATAATATTTTCTTATATTTTTATTTTCTTATTTTTAAGTGCTTAAGTTGTTTATTAAAAAATATTTTATATTTATCCATTTCGATATTTATTCAATATAGCTAATAATTATTTTACAAAAAAAGATTTTAGACACTTTTAATTTTGTAAAAAGAAGCTATAAGTATTTTGTGTTGATTTTAAAAATAAATCTATTATAAAATAAATTACCTGCTCTCCAAATTGTCGTAATAGAGCACTCTGTTCACTAGAAGGTCGTGAATTTCGTAATGCATCTTCTAAATGTGTTATACGGTCTTGATAGCCTTGACCAATTTCATTTTTAAGTACTTCATTTTCATTTTGTAATTTTTCTATGGAATGATTCTGTTCATTGGTATAGGACTCTAATTCCTATATATGATATATATGTATATGAAAAATAAAGAAAGAAAAAAATTTTAGACAAAAGATTTATGAAAAAGCAAAAAAAAATCAAAACAGTTTATTAAAGAACTAAATAGTCTAATAATAATAATAATAATCAAAACAAATTTTCTTTTTTTTTTTCTAAATTTAACACCTACGCACAGTTTCCTCAAAAAAAAGAAAAATAAATATAGAAAATGGAAAAGAATTTATTTTTTCAGACAACTCTAAAAAAAGCAAAAAAATAAACAGCAAAACAAAGAAAAAAAAAACCATTTTCATTTCACTCACCTTAACCTTTTCATTCAGAACACGTTCATTTAATGATTTCTTTTCCACTTGCGTCTCTAAATCAGAAATAATTTCTCTTAGAACAAAAACTTTATCAATGGATGCTTTCAATTCAATTTCTAATTTATCTTTTTTCGCCTCATATTCTGATATTTGACCATTTAATTCTTTTATTTGATATTCCATACGTTCAGCCTAAAGAGGAAGTCAAAAACAAACATTATAAAAATTAATTAAAAAAATATTATTTAATAATTAAATTTTAATTTTTTTTTAAAAAAATAATTTGATTTTTTTTTTTTAATATGTGAAATAATTAAAAATTTTCACGTTCAATTTCATTTATATTGAACGAGCAAAAATAAATAGGAAAATTTAAAAAAAAATTGTAGATGAAAATGGAAAATTTTTTTAATGAATGAGTCAAAATATTTTGTAATGATTGTATGTGTATGTTTATTTATAATGAAAATTTTGTTATTATAAGAAAATTAATGTATGTATGTATGAATGTATGAAATTAAATGCAAAATAAATGTTTATTTTCTTTATCAAATTTATAATCGAAAAATTTCAATTAATTTAAGTATAAAGAAATCTTTTTCTTTATAAGATGAGATTCTAGGACGGAAATTGCTATATAATTGTAACTATATTTTAAAATTTTAAATTTACTATCATATTATTAATTGATTTCATGGAAAATCATATTCATTGCCATCATTAAGTTCAATGGCATTTGGTTTCTTTTAAATTTTTCTTAAAAAATTATTTTTCTTAATGAAAAATGGCCACAATTTACATGTGCTAAATTATAATAAATTGTTAAGTTTTCTATATAAAAGTTCTTACGTTTTGTCTTCCAGAGTAATATTATATCATGTGATTACAACAAAAACAAGTTCTTTTAGAAATACACTGAAGTGATATGAAAAATTGTTCAAAAGAATATCATCAGACTTAAAGGTAATTTAAGCTCCCCATTAACTAAAAACAATTTTTATCTACCCGTACTCCTATTATACTCTTTCTTAGCCAATACATATTAAAAGTCCGCAGAAGCTTTATAATGGTATTAAATAAAACCCGTTTCTCAATTATCTGATAAGAACTTATTTTAAATTAATTATTGAATTATTCATCTTAATAGTTCCTGTATTGGGATCCTGAAATTCGACAAAATGGAAAGCAATTTTATATTACAATTTATTTTTATTTCTTCATTTTTTGGCTCCCGTAGCATCAATATTTTCCACTTATTAAAGTGCTTTTATACACTTACAATTTGATTAACCATAAAATTTGTTTATCAGACCACAATATCCATATATAATTATCACTGTATAAATTACATTTAACATTTTATATATATATAATTTTTAATTACTATTTTTTATTTTATTATTTCAAAAATTACTTAAAGACAATAATATAATTACCACAATTTCTTAACATTTAATTTGAAAAATAAAATTACACACACGCGTTGTTTAAAATATATTTAATTATCTAATTATAAAAAGGTGACTATGACCGGTTCTTTCATAACAAAAAGTATATTTAATTCGAAAATAAAACAATTTAAAAATTTCATATTAAATTATTTAAAAATGAGTGTTTCGATTTATAGAGAAAAAAAAAATTTACTTAATATTTTACTTAATTTAAACAAAGAATTTTTAAAATAATTTACTGGAAAAATCATGTGTTTAAAATACTAAAATAAATTTTAAAATTTCTTAGAATGAACTTTCAATACGCGCATAAATTATTTATTGTCAAAAAATAATATTTTGGTTAATGTTTGCCAAATAATAATTATTTTTAGAAAAATTAAATTTCTTTGTTCAAATAAAAATTTATCATTTAATTTTGAATAATAATCCCTGAATTCCATTGTAAATTAAAACTAAAAATATATTCCTAGATTTATTATTAAAAGAAGCTTAAAATTACAGAATATTTATTAAATTCGGTACTATAAACAATTGCTAAGGAAAAGAGAATATTCCAGATTTTCTAACAATTTGTGAGAGAAGAACTGCAATCTATAAAAGAACAACAAAATGATCAAGTTGGAAACTCCGAACCTTTTATTTTAAAGATTTAAAAAAACATTTCCCTCCTGCCTTCTAAATTTAATAAATTAATTGTAAATCAACTACTTAACTTACAAACATGATATGGGATGAGCTGATGCACGTAGCAAAATAATTAAAAAATGATTTTAATGAAAATATCAAAATTAAACAAAAATTAATGGTTGTGAAAAAAAAAATTAATGAATGCATGCGATTACTTTTCGAAAATTTTAAAGCAATTATTAAATTTTTTTTGTTTTAATTTTTAATTTTCAAACTTACAGGTCGATTATTGGATAAAATTTTCACATTCTGTTTTCATTGATTTTGCAGAAATTTTGTGCAAATTTCAGTTTTGAATTTTTTGTTTTGTTTAATTAAATGTTTTTATTAATTGGTCCAAAGTGCAAAATTTTTCAGGAATTTTTTTCATAATGCGATTAGTATTTGGACGAGTGAGTGCAAGTTAAAAATAAATAAATAAAAAAAAAAAGAAATATACAATAATAACATTTTCAATATCAATAATATTTGAAATATTAATCAAAAACTAAAAATAATTTCGATTAATAACAAAAACACAAATAACATAAAATTTGAGCTTTATTTTTGTATTGCAGAATAGTTTAATTAGTTTAAATGCATTTTCTAAGTTTGTTTGAAAAAATAAAATTGTCATTCGCTTTGTAATTCTTATCCGACTCATGCCAAATAATATTTTTCTAACTGATATATTCGAACTTGAAGCTTAAATATTATATTGTAACTATCCCTAAACTCTAAATTATAGTTTTTCATTTATTTATTTTTGATAAAACCATTTTTAATAAGTTTACTGAGCTGGCTTCAACACAACTCATTTAAATATTAAATTATTGTCTAGTTCATTAAATATAGTATGAAAATTTGTAATTGTTTTAACAAGTATTTGCAAAAAATTTAAAAGATTACAAATTTCATATTCTTAAAATTAAAAACTTTACGGAAATATTCAATTTCAGCTCTGCTCGAGGTAAAATCATACTTTCATAATTTGTGGGTCGTATATTTTACCTCGTAAATTTTGAATTATTTACCCTTGAAATGATTATAGAATAATTTTCTATTCAATATATTCTTCTTTTAAAAGTGATCCCCTTGCAATCCTACAAAATTTTGATCAAAATTTTAAATAATTATTCTATATATTCAATACAAAGCTATGTTCAATACAAAGCCATATAAACTAAAATTTTAAAAAGAAATAAATATTTAATTAAAAAAAAAAATTAAATGTATGTAAAACCAAATATGTGTATAAAATTTAGAAAATATATAAAAGCAAAATCTAAAAATATAAATCCAAACAAAAAGCACACTGATATTTGGAAATACAGACTTAATTAAATTAAAATAAAATGAGCTACAAAAAAAAAAATTGTAAAAAACTTATAAAATAATTAAAATATTATAAATAAAATAAAAGCTTAACAGAAATTTTAACAACGAAAAGAAGAAATTTAAAAAAAATTAAAAAAGTTTGTAGAAAAGTTCTTCTTGCTTTTGTTTTTCTTTTTCAAATTAGCTCCTACAGAGCCAAATTTAAAAGCTACAAACAACAACAACAACGAAAAAAAAACGGAAAACTCACCTCATTAGAAACGTTTTGTAATGAAGTACGTTCCTTGTCTTTGTCACGTAAAAGATTTTTTAATTTTTCAATTTCCTTTACAAATTCATCACGTTCTAATTCACGTTCAGCAGCCTGCTCTTCCAAAAATACTCTTGTTGCTTTCAGTTGTTTATCAGCAGCATCAATCTGATATTTTTTTTTTTAGTTTTATTGTATTTTTTTTTATTTTATTAATTTTTTTTTTCGTGTATATTATATTAATGATATTTTATTTCATTAATATTAATTTAAATTTTTTTAAAATTAAAATTTTAAGGAAAAAACACACAAACAATATTATGTGTACATATAAATTTTGTATTGATCTAATAAAAAATATTGTGCTTTGTGTGATCATAAAATTCAATTGAAATATGCATGTATAAAATGGACGACAATGTTTACAAAGTAAAATAATAAAGGATTCCTTCACCATAGTTTCATAATTTCACCAAAATAAGATTATAATTAAAGAAAAATGAATTATAGTTAATACCATTATTTTGCCCCAATTTAATATTTTGATAAAGATGTGATGATCATATAAATGAAATTTTGTACAGTTAATGAAAATAAAATTGAGGATACACTATCACAGTTTTAGGATATGTTAAAGGATTCAAAAACACTTTTAATAAAACAGACATATTAATTGGATTTTATCATATAAAATTTTTAGACAAATGCTTTTCAAATTAGTAATTTTTAGTTTTATAATGGTATAAAAGAAAACTTATTTCTTTTGCTTTAATAAATAATATTTCAATGTGTTAATAATAAAATTAGGTCTAAATGCCTTTTGTAATTGGTGAAAACAAAAATTTCAATAGACCAAATACAATTTCAAATTATTTTTCATTTATTTTTCTCTATATTTGAGGTTTTCAAGAAAACCAATTAAAGGATTTTTTTCAATATCAGTTAAAACTTGTTAAGAGTTTTTGTATTTTCAAATTTTTTGTATTACAAAATTAATATTTAACTAAAAAATATTTTGGAAAAGCTCTTAGTTCATTAAATTTAAAATTTTTAGAGATATAAGCATTTGAAATGTGCTACAATATACCGACATTAAACTATTTTCAAGAGATATAAATAATTTTTCGAATAAATTTTAAAATATAATTTTAAATCTAATATTCTAATCTACTGAAGCATACTAACTATTAAAGCATAAGTACTACCAGAAAAACGAAATAAACTTTTTTTAAGAGGATACTAGTTCTGTAATTTTTATTCTATTTTAAAATGTATATAGAATATTGTATAATATAGACAAATTTAATATATTAATGCCACAGAGCGTCTTATACATATGTTTCTTTACATCTTAAACATAAAATTTAGTTAACCGAGCTGTGCGGCAAACATTTTCATAATATATGAATAATTTTAACTGTATGAGTAACAGCGAGACGTTTTGTTTTCACAAAATCGATTGAATATTCAAAACAAAAGTTTTGTGGTTTGCCACTATGAAATCACAAAATTTGACTTTTTCATGAAAAATATAAAATTTTTATAATATCAAGGGCAAGTTTGAAAGAAAAATTAAAATGAAAATATTAACAATCTATATTTAAATTTCATAAAATTGTTCCAAATATAAAATAAATATTAAAAATTTTATTTTCCCTTTATTTTTTGGCAGATAAGATTAACCTTGAGGTTACCGAAATCAAAATTTTTTCCTAATATTAAAATGGTCAAGGGTAAAAGTTTAAGTAATTCTACAATATAATAAAATATTAATCACTACTTAAAGTTCTTTTTGTAATTATTACTACAGATGAAATAACCATTATGGATGTGCTACACAATAAAACAATGATAAGTGTAAGTGTGTTACACACTATTGTAAAATGTTTGAAAATTTTAAGTGTTTTCTTGTGCGTTAAACCAATATCTACAATTATTTACAGTTTATAGCTCTACTAATTATACACAAAAACCATTTTAATTTAAAAATATATAAAAGCACAATACCATACCTGTGCTTGTAAATCATCATGATCTTTTTTACCGCATTCTATAACTTTATCACCTTCACGACAAAAATCTTCAATAATTTGTAAAAGTATATCAGCATCATTAGTTTTCTTTGGTGTACCCAATAAATTTCTAGCTTTTTCTTGTAATTGGGCAAAATTATTTGAATGTTTAATATTTTTCATACGCTGAGGACTTTTAATATCACCAATACCGTAACCCTCAGTATATTCTTCACGATTTGAATCTAAATGCTCTAATTGATCTCGTAATGCAGCTAATTCTACTCCAAGTTCACAATTTCTTTTTATTGTTGCATTTAATTCTTGCTGTAATTTTACTTTATCACTTTCTGATTTGACTAATCGACTTCTTAATTCATTTACATGGAAATTTAATTCGCTAACAGGACCACCTGATGATGTATAATCTTCTAAATTCAATTCAAAATTTACAATTTTATTTAAATCAGGCGGAAGACTTGATAAATGACTTAAATAGTTTGATTGTCTTTCACTATCGGCACGTAATAAATTTTCATTCATTGAATTTGCTCGTAACACTTTCTTGGGCGATCTTGTATTTCTAAGACCATCTTCTTCACATGCATCTTGTTTTTCTTCTTCATTTGTAGTAGTTGGTAAATCACTGTCATTTAATTGTTTCTTTTGGAATAGATTTTCAGATAATTCTAATAACATTTGTGCTTCATTTTTTAATTTTTCAATGCAATCTTTTAAATTGAACTTATCACTAGTTAAAATTGTATTCGGTGATTTATTATCATTTGAATCGGTATTAGTAGATATATACATAAGTAATTCAGGATCATCAACAACATTAAGAAGAGATGAAACATCAGGAACCAAACGTTTTTGAAGTGTTGTTTCAAAGATTAATTTTTTCATTAACGGTTCATTAAAGAATGAATTATCTAAATTATCTCCCGATTCAGAAACATTCGAAATATCACCTATTAATGTACTTTGGCCATGTTGTGATATTGAAAGTTTTTGTAAATCTTCAAGGAATGTTGAATTAAAATCATCTTCACATAATGAAACACATTTTGCTAATTCACTAGTAACATTTCTGAAAGCTAATGATAGTTCCCTTAAACTATTTCTTTCACTTATAATAGTATCTAAGTCCCGACTTAAGTCAAATGTTGATTGCCGTTTTATTTTTCGATTCAATTGTTTTTCATATTTAGCTTTAAGACGAGCCATCTGAAATATAAAATAAATAAATTTTATTTTTCATTTATCAATTCTATTATATTGTAAAATCTAATTAAATATTTTCAGAATTTTACCTCTTCTTCATGTTTAATTTGTAATTGAGCAATTTCTAATTGACTTTTAGCAGTGAATTTTTCTCTTAGCAGAATCAACTCGGGTGGCCAATGTTGATCTTCTGCTGCTGTTTCAGAAAGTAAAGCCTGCAAAAGAAAAGCGTAAATTAAAATCTTTCATTCAAAAATAAATGTGTTAATTAAAAAAATTAAAAGCAAATCTTTCTTTAAATGTGGAAACCATTTCTTACTGCCACTGCAAATAAGCAAGTTCACAACTTGAATATTAAATATTGTTGTTCACTCATTGACTAATAACTTAAGTTTTAAATTCTGTAAATCAAATTTCAATCACAATCTTAATTACTTAAGCTCATCTTAATTGATTATTTGAATTAGAAATGCATAAATTTTTCTTTACCTAAATTTCATAATTGTCCTATTCAATTTTTCGGGTGCTTTCATTAAAAAATTCGCATCACATCATGACTGTATGATTTGTTACATTTTAAAGCACATTTCAAGTGAATTATTTTCAAAAAACTATTATAATTAAAAATAAGTAATTCTTTATTTCTATTTTGAGAGCTCTTGAAATTAAAAATTAAAAATTCGCGCAAAATTTTTGCAGAGCATCAATCAAAATTACACTTCAATGAAATTGAGTAAAATAGTGGTGAACACAAAATGAAAAATTGAATTGAATATTTTGAATTGCAAAATTTAAGAAATTTGTTTAAAATTAAACATGTAGCCAAATACAATTTTATTAAAGAAAATTTTTCCATATATCTTTTAAAATTTCCTTGGCTATCCGAAGCATAACTCTATAAAACAACGACCGGAATTTTTTTTTTTAAGGAATATTGCAATAACAAAGTTGATGTCGTCGCACGACATGTGTTTTATATCTTTCTATATTACAAGAAATCCCATAGCATTGAATCACCATTTAAAAACTAAGTATTAAAAAATAAACTTTAATTTTTATATAATTTCTTTTTTTTTTGTTGATGAAGTGTATCGCATTTCATGGCAAGTCTTTTGAATGTAATTAATATTCTTTAAGAATTTTCCCGCCCAATTTCTTAAAGTTCCTATTCTTTTTGTTTTTTAATGTCTTTTGACAGCAAGGAAATAAAAAAACAAAATAGTCTCTGCATTACGCTTAACAATTATTCAATCCTAAGAGGTTTGTTGATTTATGCATTTACACATTACAAATTTTGAAATTATTTTTCATTTCCGAAGGGACTTACATATTAACCATGAAAATAATGATTTACAGATTGAAAATAATGAAAGGGTCCAATTGTAGAACAATTTTGTTTTTATTTTTAAATCCGTCTTATAAAAACTTTAAAATTACGATGTATATTAAGTGGATGTTACAATTGCGTTCATTATTTAAATTTTGCTTTGTAAAATAATTTATATGGGTTTGAATTTAAATTTTTGATATTATAATAAAATGGCTATTATCAAGATGAGGATTTTTTTTTAATTTTAAGTGGGAAATCAAAACAAACAGTCTCCAAGACAGATAGAACCTACCTCACACCACTATTATTCGGGCAGCTTGCACTGTAAGGTTTAAAGGCTTGAATTTTAGAAAATTCCGCGCACTGTAATTTTACACATTTTAATGGACCAGTGATGCACATGGATGTTAATCTTCGCACTCTTTTGAAACATTTCTTTGTGACTTTAAACTCAGTCTTTTTCCTGTGTTATTCTGCCCTCAATACATGAAGTAATAACAATACAATTCGTAAATATCCGTATTCACGGAGTGGTACAAACTCCGTTAATGTTTCAAAAATTGAAGAATCGCGAAATAAAATTAAAAATTTCTTATCCAAATAATTTTATAAATCATCCTAATTTTATACAGGACAATGTAGCCTCACAATCAAATTAATTTTGAGTTTTTCTTCTCTTCTTTTTTTTCATCATTTTCACGCTCCAAAAATCTCAAATTTTTGTAGCGGTATCTTGCAAAAGATTCAACACAAGTACAACTAAATATAAAAAATAAGTAAAAAAGTGACAAAATTATAAGCCCCAAAAAAAAAACCAAAAAACAAAAGAAGAAAATTTTTTATTTTGTTGTGGTCTAAAATTATCTGACGTTGATCTCAATTCTCTAGTGTAATGTACTTGCAACTAAACAACTGCATTTACCCCATAACAAATGCAATTTTAATTAAGACTAATAAATTTATCACGTTATTTAATATTTTTTTTTTGTTTTATAGGTGGTAAACGTGAAAGAATATTTTCAAAATTAAATTGTTTCCGCGTTCAATGTATTCTTAAATATACTTAAAAAATTATTTTGATTTTTTCTAAATGACTGGTTCAAAATTATGTTTTTAAATTGTAAGTATGTTGTTTAGGTGATTTGAATTTAAAAATGCATAGAATAAATACCATTACTTGAATTTAATTAGCATGTATAACAATAATGCACGAATGGCACAAGATATACGGTATACGTATGTGTGTGTACAACAGACTAAATTTCGTTGAAATTAATCTCAATAAATTTGTGCCATTCTAACATATAGAAATTGTACTTTGAAATTTATAACAGAAAACGTTCATTCAACTTTAATTATATTATATTATGCCACAATAGATCGGCCTCAATAGGTTCTGCAATAAATAATATAATATAAAATCGAAAAGTAATCAATAAGAAAAAAAGAAAATAAAGAAACTAAAGAAAGATTAAGGGAGCATCTTTATCATCATATCAAATGAGAAACCACAATAATATAGAAAATAAAGAAAATTTATTACGATGGGGTAAAATCAATTAAAAAATAAAATAATATAGAGGGCTATAGAGTCTATTACATTATAATTATTCTTTTATTTGTGATCTATTTTTGGTTTATTTTTAACATTCTATATAACATTAATATTAAATTAAGTTGAAATAATAATAATAATAATAATATATGAAGAATAATAGGTGATAATGGCCTTCAGGAACTAAAAGAAAAAAAAACGAACATCACCACAAACATTAACAAATTTATTTATAGTCTAAACTAAATGAAAATTATTTTTTATTTTCTCAAAATTCAAAATAATTAATAAGTAAACTTTTAAATTATTAGAAATGTATGACGAAAGATTGTGGTATAGTCATTAGAACACAATAAATACCAACTGAGAACGCTATCTTGGAGTTTAATGGTTTTTCAATTAAAAGTGGTTATAAATAAGACTTAACACTGTTGTGCATTCTGTCTCAACAAAATCTTATTAATAGTCAATATGTTCCGTTTTTCAGAGTAAAGTAATTTTCAGTGTAATTTACCTTCACATAAATTGAAATAGGATGCATGTATTTTAACAAAATTTTAAATTTGAACCAAAATAAAATAAGTGACAAAATATCTTTTAGAGTCTAATTACGAACTTATTCCCTTACTATTTAAATTTTACAATAAGTACTTAATTAGTCTAACATTATCTGCATGTGAAAGATACAGCTCAAAATCTGCCTTACATCATACATATTTTATTTCCTAGTAACACATTTTGCTTAACCCCTTTTATGACTTTTTTGATTAAACAAAAGTTTTGCACTTAGTCTTTGTTTCTCTTAATAATTCCAGAAAAAACAAATGAATATAAAGAGGCGTATTTGTCTTATGTTTCTTCTTTAACAAAAGACTGATAACACGCGTGTGAATATTGCAAATATAATAATATGATCTATATAACATTATATACACTTTTTAGTAAATGATTATGTTTAACGGAAAATATTGAAATGTTTTAAAAAATAATTTTATAAATTTGACCTCTAAATAAACTTCACGTCTTTCTAATAATTCGGACATTGAGCCAAATTTTTTTTAAGATTTCCTACGATTGAAGATTTTTGATTTTATTAAAATTATATTACATTATATGTAGTAAATTTAAAGTATTTAACAGTTTAATAGAGTATTTAGTTGTTACGAGATTCTTGATAAAGTCTAGCTGCTAGACTCTAGCATGTAAAAATTTTTAGAAATTGCTGTTGCTTAAATGGCAAACACTAAAGAATTCACAAATAAATTGAAATTAATCAAAAATCATTTTCAAATCAATCTATCTATTAATTGGGAACCTCCAGTAAAAAAAAATATTTCATATACTTAACAATATCAAATCAGTAACAAACACTGATCTAGATTATTAACATTCAAATTTAAAAATAGATTTTGCTGTCTTCTCATTTCAACCTCATTCCTTTTATATTTATTACATTTTCTTCTATATTTGTATTTTATTAAAGTCTGATGCTAATTTTCAACTGAATGTCCATAATTTAAATTTTTGAAGGTCGCTTCAATAGTGCATTGTCATTTAACAGATTTTGCTGAACATGAACGCATACTACAATAACAATTAACAACAGCAAAACTCTTAACAGAACATAAAAATTTTGCATCAAAAAGAAAAAGCACAAAAATACGGCCGCGCTTGCGTATAATTATTTCTGAATTCATCAGCAATAATAACAAAAATAAAAAATATTTACCAATTTCATCAAAATATAGATTTGTAAGTAATCCGATTTTGGTTTTACTTTATTTGTCATTTAATCCAATTGAATCATTTATACTAAGTAGTTTAAAATTGAACCCTTTTAAAATTTCTCTCAACGCCTAAATAAATAAAAACTCAAATCATGTCCCTCATATTTGAGGAGAAATATTATTAAAGTAATTCAATTTATTTAAAACTTTTAACTTTATTTTTTTTTTTACACAAATTGAAATTTTAATTGACTCCGGATGAGGGCGCCAAAATTATATTCAATTTGTTTGTTTAGTTTTTTAAATTAATTATTATTGTTTATTTTCCTTGTTATACTTTTATTCTTATTTCTTTTCGAAAATTTTGTTTATTATTTATTTATTTTATATTATTTTATAATTTTATTAATATTTATTAAATTGTAACAATATTAACAATAAAAAAACATAAAATTAACAAAAATAATTCCGTAACGACACGAATGCATTAAACTCCCGAAAAGTACTAAAATAAATTCTGTTTAAAAATTTCTTGATCAACAAATTTAGAAAATTTAAGGAAATTTTTAATATTTCACTTTCCCATTTCGTTTTATGTTTTTT